AATAAGATGTTTTGTTTTCTAGAGTCAATTTTTTTTTCTTTTGGGCTATTTATAGCTTATGAAAATTGAATAAAGCATATTTTTGTGAGCAAAATTGAAACATTTATATTTCTCTTTATCTGCTTTTTCCAGAATTTGGAAACTATCTAAGTATTTTTAATTTATAACGATGTAGTTATTTGCCTAAGTTCATCAATAATATATTTTCTTTTATAAGAGGACACGTTGGAGACACTGATAATTTTACCAAAGCTTGGACTGGAAAGGCATATTTTCAGATATGACTAGATTGCTTTAAGGAGTGGAGGTTGGTTTTATCAAACTGATAAAAGGGCCCTTGGAAAGACTGGCCCAATACTTTGTCTGTACAGTTTCCTTACAAAGTTTGTGACCTTATGGTAAGTAAAAATGTCACCTTCTGACAGGTCCATGAACCTCAAAATACTTTGGGACATTGAGAAGAGTTTACCCAATTCATACAGGCATTGCAGGCACAGTCCGATGGTGAATCCTTGGCTTGGCCTTCTAGCCCCAAGAGGCTTTTAAAAGTCTAATCTGATATTCCTTATGAAAAAGTACCAGCAAAGCCAACTTATGAGAACCTTTATGGTGGATCACTATTCTTGCTGTACTTTATGCAAATAATCAGACCAAGTATAGTAAGACTATAAAACTTACTTTACAAATAACTTGGTACTACTAAGATTTATCTTTGGTAGGAACGGAGAACTTGGGAGAGCAAAATTATGTTTCAGAAGAAAATTGTAGAACACCTGTTTTGAGATTCTAGCCCTAATCATTATTTTTGTAGAGATGGAGTCTCACTATGTTGCTAAGACTGGTTATGAACTCCTGGTCTCAAGCAGTCCTTTCACCTTGGCCTCTTAATATAGTGGGGTTATAGGCATGAACCACCACACCAAGCCTGCCCCTCCCTCCCTCCCTGCTTTCTTTCTTTCTCTCTCTCTTTCTTTCTTTCTGAGACAGAGTCTCACTGTGTCGCCAGGCTGGAGTGCAGTGGTACAATCTCTGCTCACTGCAACCTCAGTCTCCTGGGTTCAAGCGATTCTCCTGCCTCAGCCTCACGTAGCTGGGACTATAGGCATGCGCCATCACGCCCAGCTAATTTTTGTATTTTTAGTAAAGATGGGGTTTCACCATGTTGGCTAGAATGGTCTCAATCTCTTGACTTTATGATCTGCCCACCTAGCCTCCCAAAGAGCTGGGATTACATGTGTGATTCACCGCGCCTGGCCGCCTGCTACTTCTTTTAAAAGAATCCAGTTGTAAGGACTACTAATCAGAATGTATATTCAGGGCAACTTGAATCTATGCTCCTGGGTGACCACCTTTAATCCTTATTTTGAGACAGCGTCTTACTCTGTCACACAGGCTGGAGTGCAGTGGCATGACCTGCCTCCCAGGCTTAAGTGATCCTCCCACCTCAGTCTTCCAAATGTCTCTGGCCGCAGGCCTGAGCCACTATGCCAGGATAATTATTGTATTCTTTGTTGAGATAGGGTCTTGCTATGTTGCCCAGACTGGTCTTGAACTCCTGAGCTCAGGAAATCCACTCACCTTGGCCTTTCAAAGTGCTGGGACTATAGGCATGAGGTAACATGCTTGGCTGATCCTTAATCTTTATACTTGAATAAGTTCTCTTTTAACTAGACACTGAACTTTTTGATTATTTCAGTTTGACCCTATACTCTGATGTATGTAATAAAGTGTTTGAAGTTATTTGTTTGAAAGATGTTTCTTACTATGTAAGGCTTCACTGTAAGTAGTATTATATTAGTGAATACATGTATGTGTAAAGATTTTATAGACACATTTAATAAATCTAACAATATTACTTATTAGCTATATTGTTAACAGTGTTAATTCACTCATTGTAAATGGTTACCAAGTTATAGTATCTGTAGTGATATCTAAAACATACTTACTTCAAAGATATTTTGTAGCATGAGGCTTACAGGCTTTGTAACCACCATTTTCAGCAAACTAACACAAGAACAGAAAACCAAACACTGCATGCTCTCACTCATAAGTGGGAGTTGAACAATGAGAACACACAGACCCAGGGAGGGGAACACCACGCACCAGGGCTGTCGATGGGTGGGGGCCAAGGCGAGGGATAGCATTAGGAGAAACACCTAATGTAGATGACAGGCTGATGGGTGCAGCAAACCACCATGGCACGTGTATACCTATGTAACAAACCTCCACGTTCTGCACATGTATCCCAGAACTTAAAGTATAACAATAATAAAAAAGTGTTACTTCAATGAATCAATGTAATATATGAAGTCTGACTACACCTACGTTTAAAAGATAATTTTAAGAATGTTACTTATGAGTTGCATTAATAAATAGTATTAATTCAATCAATAAAAGTGTTTACCAATGTCTAAAGTATGTATGTGTTTAAACATACTTCCTTAATAAAAACTTTTTCTTATATATGTCACTTCTTTGTTGTGAAGAGGGTTATGTCAGTTAATGCATATTATGTATGTAGTGAAGTGTTTGTAGATACATTTAAAATGATTCTAATAATTTTCTTAAAACTGATGCTAACAATGTGAATTCAGTGAGTATAAGTGGCAAGCAAACCATATAATAAAGTGTTTAAAGATACTCCTTTAAAACATTTTTAAAAACCATCTGCCCGCCTCAACTTCCCAAAGTGCTGGGATTATAAGCGTGAGCCACCACGCCCAGCCTATTTCTTTTTAAGAGTATTCACTGTTGCATACATAAATGCTACTGATTTTTATATGTTGATTTTGTATCCCTAACTTTACTGATTCATTTATCAGTTCTAACCAATTTTTTCGTAGACTATTTAGGGTTTTCTAAATACAAGATCATGTTGTTTGAGAACGAGGATAATTTGACTTCTTGCTTTCCAATTTACATGCCCTTTATTTCTCTTTCTTTTGCTTGATTGGTCTGATAGGACTTCTAATATTATATTGACTAAAAGTGGTGAAAGTGGGTATCCTCGTTTTGTTCCAAAGCTTAGAGAAAAGAGTTTCAATTTTTTCCAGTTTGCAGTTAGATGTGGGTTTGTCATATTTAGTCTTTTATTTCATTGAAGTACATTTCTTCTCTACACAGTTGTTGAATGTTTTACTATAAAGTTGGATTTTAATTATACTGTATTTACTATATACTATATTTATTTTACTATGAAGTCGAATGCTTTTTAAACATCAATTGAAATAATAATATGGTTTTGGTTTTAGTTCTGTTAATGTGATATGAGATTTTATTGATTTATGTATGTTGAAATCATGCTTGCATCCTGGGATGAATCCTATTTAATCATGGTGAACGATCTTTTCAATATGGATTGAGTGAGGATTTTCTAGTATTTTGTTGAGCACATTTTTGTCTATGTTCGTTGAAGATATTATCCTGCCTGTAGTTTGCTATTGTTATATCCTTATCCGGGTTTAGTATCAGGCAAATGCTGTCTCACAGAATGTGTTTGGAAGCATTCCCTCCTTTTTAATTTTTTTTATTTTATTTTATTTTTTTGAGACGGAGTCTCGCTCTGTTGCCCAGGCTGGAGTGCAGTGGCGTGATCTCGGCTCACTGCAAGCTCCGGCCCCTGGGTTCATGCCATTCTCCTGCCTCAGACTCCCAAGTAGCTGGGACTATAGGCCACCACTCCTGGCTAATTTTTTTTTTTTTTTTTGGTAGAGACGGGGTTTCACTGTGTAAGCCAGGATGGTCTCGATCTCCTGACCTCATGATCCACCTGCCTCAGCCTCCCAAAGTGCCAGGATTACAGGCGTGAGCCACCATGCCCGGCCTCTTTTTAATTTTTTTTTTAAAGAATTTGAATAGAATTGGTTATCAGTTCCTTTTTAAGCATTTGGTAGAATTCATCATTGAAGCCAGATCCTTGGCTTTTTGCATATGGGGGACTTGTTATAATGCCTTAAATCTCATTACTCTGACTGTTTTTTTTCATATTTTCTTTTTCTTCATGGATCAGTCTTGGTAGGTTGTTTGTGTGCAGGAATTTACGCACTTCTTCCAGGTCTTCTAATTTGTGGGTATACAGTTGTTCAGAATAGTTTTTAATAATTATTTGCATTTTTGTGGTATCAGTTGTTATGTCTCCTTTTTCATTTCTGATTTTATTTCTTTGGGTCTTCTATCCTTTTTTAGTCTAGCTAAAGATTTGTCTCTTTTGTTTATCTGTTCAAATCCTCAACTTTTTGTTTCACTGGTCATTTGTATACCTTCTTAGTCTCAATTTTATTGATTTTTCCTCTGATCTTTATTATTTCTTTCCTTCTACCAAATTTGGATTTAGTTTGTTTTTGCTTTTCTAGTTACTTTAGTATATTGTTACGTTGTTTATATAAAACTTTTCTGTTTTTTTTAAATGTCGTCACTTATTGCAATAAACTTCCTTCTCATCACTGCTTTTGTTGTATTCTTCAGTTTTTTTTGTATATTGCATTTCTATTTTTGTTTCCAAACATTTTTAAATTTTCTTTTTCTTTACTGAACCACTGAATATTCAGAAGCATGTTCTTTAATTTCCATGTGTTTGTGTAGTTTCCAAGGTTCCTCTTGTTATTGTTGTCAAGTTTTTTTCTCTTGTGGTTAAAAAAAAGATATAATTTTGACTTTTTTTGCATTTGTTGAGGATTATTTTATAGCCTAACATATAGGTCTGGAGAATGTTTCACATGTTGATGAGAATTAGATGTACTCCGAAGCAACTGACTGACATGTTCTACAAATGTCAGGCTCATTTGGTCAAGTGTGTAGGTTAACGCCAATTTTGTGGTTGTTGTTGATTTACTGTCAGAATGAGCTGTTCTTTCCTCAGAGTGTTGAAGTACCCTATTAATATATTGCAGTTTTCTCTCTGTTTAGATCTATTAATGTTTGCTTTATGTACTCGGGTGCTCTTGTTTTGAGTATATATTTATAATTGTTATATTTTCTTGCTAGATTGACTCCCTTTTTTAGACAGGGAAAAAATTTTTTTAAATTACAAACTCAATTCATTTGGTGTATTTCAAAGGTGCAATACTTTTCTTCATTTATCAGTGAGAGAAGTTAGAAATCAACTTCCCCAAAAAATCAGCAAATGGCAAACAAATGTCCTTGAAAGTCACAATCACATATAGTGTGTCCTAGAAAAGAGAAGGGGCAAGACAGGCTCCACCCACTTTCATGAGTTTCATCCAATACTGGATCTACTCCAGGGTGGAGAGAAAAGGCAACTTTCAAAAATCCGCATGTTACTAAATGAGGCATTTACTCTACTCCTTCCTAAGAGCACCAGATGAGGAACATGTTTTCTAAACTAGATCCAGGAAGTGGAAGGTGGAATCAATCCATCCTCCTCCCCTTAAGGGCTATCCACTGGTTAATGAATTTAAAAAAACAAGACTAAAAAACAAACCCCACACACAATCCTCGAAAAAAAGAGGAGAAAAAAAAAAAACTCAAAACACTAAGATGTCCCAGATTACTCTCCAGAGTGGAACCAGGAAGCAGCTTCAACAATTTGTTAGTCTGTACACCTTGCTTTTAAACAAACAAAAAATTATTTTTTCAAGCTACAAAACAAAAACTAGTACTAATCACTTTTTTGACAATACACAATTACTCAAAGTCACCTAGTCCTGGGAGGGGGAAGGGGCCATACCTATGGCCTTGTCTCACGTGAGTGTATGTGGGTAGGTGCAGGGCATTTGCCATTATTGCAAAAATGAACTTTAATTTTTAATCTTATTTTGATTTAAACACTGCTTTTAGTATGATGCCAACACCAGCTGGGCAGAAAGGGCTCTGGAGAGATGTTCATAGCAGCACACACCTGCGGCTCTTCTTTGGTTCTGGAGGCTCCAGGGCAGCCAACATTGCTTCGTCAAACACATTCTTCACGCCTTTCTGTGTGAGTGCGGAACACTCTACATACCTTACAGTCTTCAGGTCATGGACCAGCTTTTCAGCAGTCTCTGGAGTGATAGGCTTCTGTTTGTTCTTGGAAAGTTTCTCAATAGTAGGGGGGTCATCTCTGAGGCCAATTTGGATCCCAACAAGCAAAAAAGGAGTCTTTGGACAGTGGTGAGTTATCTCAGGCACCCACTTTTCTTTCGCATTTTCAAATGAAGGTGGAGAGACCACTGAAAAACAGACTAGAAATACATCTGTCTGTGGATAACTCAGTAGTAGTAATCTGTCATAATGCTCTTGCTCTGCAGTATCAAAAAGCCCAAGAGTATATGGGTCTCCACCAATCGTAACTGACTGCATAATTGTCAAAAACAGTCGGCACATGTTCCGATGGAAATTTGTTTGTTGTGTAGGATATCAGGAGACTTGTTTTACCAACAGCATCATCGTCCACAACAACACACTTAATTGTCTGTATTGCTGAAATAGTTTTGTATCCACCTTAAATACTTAAAATCTGATGTTGACCTCAGCTTCTCCACTGGGGTGTTCAAAATTGACCCCTTTATCATTACATAGTGACCATCTTTATCTTTTTACATTTTACTTGTGGTCTATTTTATGATATAAGTATTGCCACTCCTGCTCTTTTTTGGTTTCCATTTGCGTGGAATTTTTTCTCATCCTGTCATTTTCAGTTTCTACGTGTCTTTATTGATGAAATGGGTTCATTGTAGGCAGTGTGTATATGAATCTTGTTTCTTTATTCATTCATCCACTCAATGTCTTTCAGTTGAAGAAATGAGTTCATTCTTTTGATAAATAAGTACTGATAAATAAGTACTATCGTCATTTTGTGACTTGTATCTTTGTTGTTTTGTAACTCCTCTCTTTCTCACTGTCTCTTCTTTGTGGTTAACTTTCTATGGTACTGTGTTTTAATTTGTTGCTTTTTATTTTCAGTGTATTTATTAGAACATTTTGTTCTGTGATTATGAAGATTACAAAAATATCTTAAAGTGATGACTTTAATCACAAAATAATATAAACAAAGAAAAAAACTAAGAAAGCTCTACACTTCCCCACATTTTCAATTTCATTATGTCACTTTACGTATCTTTGTATTTCTTCTCTCTTAACAGGTTCTGTAGATACTTTTGTTTTTGATAGATTTGTCTTTTAGTCATCATACTAAAATGATAAGTGGACTGCATACTACAGTTACAATTACAAAATTTTGAGTTTGTCTGTGGGCTTATTATTACCACTGGTTTTTATAACTTTAGATGTTTTCTTTTTTGCACATTTGTGTTTTTCTTTTTCAGAATGAAGAAGTTTCTTTGGTATTTCTTGTCAGAGGGGTCTGATGGGATGCATTCTCTTAACTTTTGTTTGTCTGAGAAAGACTATCTCCCCTTCATGTTTGAAGGATAGCTTTGCTGGGTACAGTATTCGCAGTTGACAATTTTAGTCTTTCAGTACTTTACATATACTCCCTCTCTCTCCTGGGTTGGACAGTTGCCATTTAGAAGTCTGTTGCCAGTCATTTGGAGCTCTTTTATATTATTCACTTATTTTCCCTTGCTGCTTTTAGTATTTTATTTGTCTTAGGCCTTTGAGGGTTTTATTATCCTATGTCCTAGGGTAATCTTATTTGGCTTTACTCTGTCTGGTGATCTCTGACCTTCTTATACTTGGAGATTTATATCTTTCCCAAATTTTGGAAAGTTTTCTGTTATTATTTCTTTGAACAGACTTTCATTTTTTTCCTCTTTTTCTTTTTTGAGAAGAAGTCTCACTCTGTCACCCAGGTTGGAGTGCAGAGGAATGATCTCAGCTCACTGCAACATCTGACTCCCAAATTCAAGCAATTATTTTGCCTCAGCCTCCTAAGTGGCTGGGATTACTGCTGCGCACCACTACACCTGGTTAATTTTTGTAATTTTAGTAGAGACAAGGTTTCACCACGTTAGTCAGGCTGGTCTCGAACTCCTGACCTTCAGTGATCCACCTGTCTCAGCCTCCCAAAATTCTGGGATTACAGGCATGAGCCACTGCACCCTGCCTCTTTGAATAAACTTTCTATTCCTTGCTTTTGCTCAGCTTCCTCTTGAATATCAGTAATTCTTAGATTTACTATTTTGATGTGATTGTCTGTATCTTATAGGCATTCTTTACTACTTTTCATTATTTTCTTTTATCTCATCTGGCTGTGTATTTTCCATCAGCCTGTCTTTAAGCTCACTGATTTCTTTCTCTGCTTGATTTATCTGCCATTGAGAGCCTCTCATGAATTTTTGTTCAACCGATATACTTCTTAGTTTTAGGATTTCCGTTTGATGTTTTTAAAAAATAATTTCAATCTTTTCCTCAAATTTCTCTGATACATTTCTGAATTGCTTTTCTGTATTATTTTGTGTATCACTGAGTTTCCTTAAAAATATTATTTTTGGGGCTGGGCACAGTGGCTCACGCCGTAATCCCAGCACTTTGGGAGGCTGAGGTGGGCAGATAATGAGGTCAGGAGTTCGAGACCAGCCTTGCTAACATGGTGAAACCCTGTCTCTACTAAAAAAATACAAAAGTTAGCTGGGTGTGGTGGCGGGTGCCTGTAAACCCAGGTACTTGGGAGGCTGAGGGAGGAGAATCACTTGAACCCAGGAGGCAACGGTTGCAGTGAGCCGAGATCATGCCATTGCACTCTAACCTGGGTGACAAGAGCAAGACTTCATCTCAAAAAAAAAAATTACTATTTTGGATTCTTGATCAGAGAGACTAACTACCACTGTTTAGTTAGTGTTGGCCAGCGGCTTCTTGCTTTGTCCACTCGGGAAGATTATGGTTTTTTTGTCTGCTGTTTTCTCTTATGAATGTACATCTATGTGTCTGCATTAAAGGATTAGTTATTCATTCAAATCTTCTCTATCTCGCTTGTTTTATTTTTTATTGGGTGTGATTGTTAGAGAGTGTTTGCAATTTACCTTGAATATCCTTTTTGCTGTGTCACTACCTCCTTTTTGGCACTAGATGGCACCTTAATCCCAGGTTTGCCTCAGCTCTAGCAACCATTCAGAGCACTTGTGCCAGATGAGGGAGGTCCTAAAGGGAATACCAGGGAAGCTTGGCAAGGCTAGCTAGGGATTTGTGATCTGAGAACCTATGAAACATAGCTCCTACAGCATGGTGTTACCGAACAGCCACTGTGATTTGGCATCTCCTTTGGCTAAATAGCTAAATTTCCCAGGCTGGGGAAACTAGTTACCTAATCTCTTTGTTTCTGGGTGTCCTCAGGAGTTTTTCCTCCCTTAAGACACTGGCTATACTTCTTGTGGGTGTCTTCTGTCTGGAATCCCAAGATGGCGGGAAAGCTGGTTGTCTTCCTGAATCTTCTTTTTCTTCTTTTTTTTTTTTTTTTTTTTTGGTCTAGTAAGCTTTAATAGGCGAAAAATTGTCTACACATTTGGTGTCCGGCAGATTTGTGCTAGGATGTCAGGAATATAAAAGTCTTACTCTTTTATATCTGCATGGATTTTTTCACTTCTCCATTACTTCAGTAACTATCTTATTTGCATATTTGAGTTCTGTGATATTGCTGATGATAATCTTTGAATTTGTTTAAGGTTTTCTGTCAGTCAGGAAGTGGAAACCAGCTTGCTTCTACTCAGCCTTTTTGCTGATGTCACTGTCCTTATGAATTTTGAAAGCTTTACTGTGAAGGGTGTTATATAAGTAACATGTAGTAAGGTATCTGTAGACACACACTTAAAATATATTTCTTTTTTTTTTTTAAATTGAGATGGAGTCTTGCTCTGTCACCCAGGCTGGAGTGCAGTGGCGTGATCTCGGCTCACTGCAAGCTCCGCCTCCTGGGTTCATGCCATTCTCCTGCCTCAGCCTCCCGAGTAGCTGGGACTACAGGTGCCCATCACCATGCCTGGCTAATTTTTTCGTATTTTTTAGTAGAGACGGGGTTTCACCGTGTTAGCCAGGATGGTCTCGATCTCCCGACCTCATGATCCACCTGCCTCGGCCTCCCAAAGTGCTGGGATTACAGGCATGAGCCACCGCACCCGGCCCTTAAAAGATATTTCTAAGATGTTGTTGATAAAATGAATTTGTAAATGTATTAATTTAGTGATTTCAAGTGTTTACCCAATTGCAAATATATAATAAAATGTTTAAATATGTTTCTTTAAAGAAGTTCCTTACTATACATCTTAAAATCTTTGTTGTGAAGAGTGTTCTTTTAGTAAGTGGATATGTAGTGTGAGGTTGTAGACACTTACATTAAAGATAATTCTAATAATGCTATTTATTAGATGAGTTGGTAACTATGTTAACTCATTGAATGCAAGTGCTTACCACATGATAAAGCATGCAATAATGTGTTTAAACATGTTTTAAAAGATGCTTTTGTTATTCATTTTAAGAGCTTTATAATCAAGAGTGTTATTTCAGTGAGTGGATGTAATACTATGCAGGGAATAGTTAGTAGACACACGCCTAAAAGATGACCTAAGTATGTTATTGATAAAATGAGTTGGTGACTATGTTAATTCAGTGAATGCAAGCAAGTATTACCAAACTGGAATGTATGTAATAAAGTGTTTAAACATGGTTCTTTAAAGATTTTTCTTACCACACATTTTATATATATATATGAGATGGAGTCTCACTCCGCCACCCAGGCAGGAGTGCAATGGTGCAATCTTGGCTCACTGCAACTTCCTCTGCCCTCCAGGTTCAAGTGATTCTCCTGCCTCAGCCTCCTGAGTAGCTGGGACTACAGGCGGGTGCCATCAGGCCCAGCTAATCTTCTTTGTACTTTTAGTAGAGACGGGGTTTCACCATATTGGCCAGGCTAGTCTCGAACTCCTGACCTCAGGTGATCTTCCTGCCTCAGCCTCCTGAAGTGCTGGGATTATAGGTGTGAGCCACGGTGCCCGGCCTCTTTCCGTGCATTTTAAAAACTTTGTTCTGAAAATTGTTACATCAGTGAGTGAATGTGGCTCACTGTAAAGTGTTTATAAGCATATGCTTAAAAGATGATCTAAAAATGTTACTGATTAGTTGATAATAGTGTTAATTCAATGAATGTAAGTATTAATTAAATGCAAGTGTTTACCAAATTGTAAAGTATGTAACGAAGTCCTTAAACATGCTTATTTATAGATTTTTAAAATTATACATTTAAAAATCTTTCTTGTGAAGAGTGTTATATTAGAGAGTACATCTAATATTTAACTACATACACCTACTCACTAGGTTTGCAGGCACATGTTCAGAAGATAAAACTGATAATGTCACTTAAAATACATGTTGTTAACTGGATTAATTCAGGGAATTTAAGTGTTTAATAAGCTATCATATATGTGTAAAGCGTTTAAGCATTTTTTTTTTTTTTTTTTTTGAGACAGAGTCTCACTCTGTCACCCAGGCTGGAGTGCAGTGTGCGATCATGGCTAGCTGCAGCCTCTGCCTCCTGGATTCAAGCAATTCTCCTGCCTCAGCCTCCTATAGATGGGACTATCGGTGACCGCCACTACACCCCGCTAATTTTTGTATTTTTAATAGAGATGGGGTTTCACCATGTTGGCCAGGCTGGTCTGAAATTTCTGACCTGAGGTGATCTGCCCCACCTCAGTCTCCCAAAGTGTTAGGATTACAGGTTTGAGCTACCCTACCACGGCCAGCCAAGCATATTTTTTTAAAGATGTTTCTTACCATTGCATTTTGGGTAAGAAACATTCTATGGCAGAAAGCTTTTATTTTAATGAGTGGATCTAATGTATGTAATGTACGTAGTGAGGTGTTTATATGTTGAAAGATAAATCTAAGAATGCTACTTAAAAGATGTGTTGTTAACTGTATTCAGTAAATTTAAGTGTTTACCAAGCTGTATAGTATGTAATAATGTGTTTAAATATGCTTCTTTAAAGATATTTGTTACCAGAGAGGGTGATGTCAGCAAGTTGTCAGAATAGAAACTATCTCACTCTACTTGCTTCCATAAAAATTCAACTAACAATTTTCCACAGATTAGAATACCTTCGTAAATATCCCAGAACTTGGGAGTGAATCGGAGACGTCTTCTCGAACTACAGACCAAGAGCCACACATAAGTGTACGAGGAATGATTTCACTTCGACCAAGTTGCTCCTTTCTCCAAACTGCACAGTGACACACACAGTGTTTTCCAGTAACCATGTTATTTTTTCAGAAGGAGAAAAAAATTGGAGGTGAATATTTAGCTATCCTATTATTCTGGGACCATTCACAGGAGATACTATCTTGTCTCACCTCATGGGACATATTGGAGGGTAGTAGAGGAGCTGGTCCTACCCTAGCCTACCTGTTTTCCAGCCCAGTACCATCTTATCTCACCAATACTCACACTGACCCCAGGGCATCCTGAAGGCTCAGATCTAGCCTTTCTTCCTCTTTGTAGAAAGACCTTTCTCTACCCAGATATACAGGGACATCATTTTATACACTTACCTTAGGTGTTCTAAGGAAAACACCTACCCTGATCGACACATCTGTGAAAGTAAACAACTCTCCCAGTGGAAGGTGACAGAATTCGTGCTGCTCTGATTAAAATTCTCTGGCTTAGTGCTTGCTGTAGGTGTAGGGTCACTCGGAAATTGCAGGGAAAGATTACTGTTGCCTTTTTGGTTCCCTTCCCTGCCAGTAGGTGAAAAGCTAGCCCTATGGCCTTTAGTATAACTATAAGCCAAACTATGTGTGTGTGTGTGTGTGTGTCTGTGTGTGTGTTCGCATTATGCTTATTATATGCATATTTATACAAATATGTATTTATGTATGTATGCATAAATGTATATTTTTGTGTTATTACATATAAGAACTATATTTTATTATTTATAATCTATATGATTTTCTTCTTGCATGCAAAGGCACCACCACGAACTGGCAGACAGTGCTACAATGTTTTATGTATAAATATTTATATTTTGATTTCTGTTTATTTATATGTTGATGATATATTTGTAAATGTTTCCTATTTCATTTAAAATGTATGCATTTATGTGTATGTATATATTAATTTCCAGTTATGGTTTTACTTGTGCCCTGTATGCTTAAACATTCCAGACTGATCGATTGTGCTACATTGTTTCCTGAGACTACAGATTCCAAAACGCTGAGATCCTACTGAGGCTTTTTCTGGTCTAAGTGGGAAGATGCGGCTACACATTGGACTTCACGTGTCAGGGCCATCTCTTCCCTTGGCATTTAGAAAAAGTTCACTTCTCCTATAGGAGGGAGCAGAGAAAGTTGGCTGACTGTTTCAGGGCAAACGAAGGAACCAATGTCTATGGAACCTGGCAATATTAGGCAGTCTTCCATTCAAGTCCTATTTGGACACTGTCTCTCTGAGATTTTAAGAACAGAAAAGCTCTCAGAGCCTTCCTGCCACGGTGCTCGCACCTCACTGCTCCAACCTCTGGGCCACATTCCATCCTTTCAGCCTGCGACTAGCAGAGAAAAAAATTACATATTTTCTTGCTCCATACACACCTTGTGGCGAGCAAAAAAATTAAATTTTAACCATGAGGGAAATTGCGCACATCCAAGCCAGTCACTGTGGCAACCAGATCGGTGCCAAGTTCTGGGAGGTGATCAGTGATGAACGTGGCATCAACCCACCAGCACCTACCACAGCGACAGCGACCTGCAGCTGGACCGCATCTCCGTGTACTACAGTGAAGCCACAGGTGGCAAACATGTTCCTCGTGCCATCCTGGTAGATCTAGAACCTGGGACCATGGACTCTGTTTACTCAGGTCATTTTGGCCAGATCTTTAGACCAGACAACTTTCTTTTTGATCTGTCTGGGGCAGGCAACAACTGGGCCAAAGGCCACTACACACAGGAACCAAGCTGGTTTATTCGTTCCTGGATGTGGTATGGAAGGAGGCGGAGAGCTGTGACTGCCTGCAGGGCTTCCAGCTGACCCACTCACTTGGCTGGGACACAGGCTCTGGAATCGGCACTCTCCTTATCAGCAAGATCCAAGAAGAGTATCCTGACTGCTTCATGAACACCTTCAGTGTGGTACCTTCCTACAAGGTACATGACACTGCGGTCGAACCCTACAATTCTCCATCCATCAGTTGGTAGAGAACACCGATGAGACCTATTGCATTGACAACGAGGCCCTCTAGGATATCTGCTTCCACACTCTGAAGCTGACCACACCAACCGACTGGGATCTGAACTACCTCGTCTCAGCCACCATGAGAGGTGTCACCGCCTGCCTCCACTTCCCTGGCCAGCTCAGTGCTGACCTCCACAAGTTGGCAGTCAATATGGTTCCCTTCCCATGTCTCGATTTCTTTATGCCTGCCTTTGCCCCTTTCAACAGCCGTGGGAGCCAGTAGTAGCAAGCTCTCACCGTGCTCAAACTCACCCAGCAGGTCTTCGATGCCAAAAACATGATGGCTGCCCGTGACTCCCACCACGGCCGATACCTCACCATGGCTGCTGTCTCCCGTGGTCAGATGTCCATGAAGGAGGTCGATGAGCAGATGCTCAACGTGCAGAACAAGAATAGCAGCTACTTTATGGAATGGATCCCCAACAACATCAAGACAGCTGTCTGTGACAGCCACCTCATGGCCTCAAGATGGCTGTCACCTTCGTCAGCAACAGCACTGGCATCCAAGAGCTCTTCAAGCACATCTCGGAGCAGTTCACTGCCATGTTCCACCACAAGGCCTTCCTCCACTGGTACACAGGCAAGGGCATGGACGAGATGGAGTTCACAGAGGCTGACAGCAACATGAACGACCTCATCACTGAGTATCAGCAGTACCAGGACGCTACCACAGAAGAGGAGGAGGATTTCAGTAAGGAGGCTGAAGAAGAGGCCTAAGGCAAAGGCTCCCCATCACCCCAGGCTTCTCAGTTCCCCTTAGTTGTCTTATTCAACTGCTCCTTTCCTCTCCCTCAGAATTTGTGTTTGCTGTTTCTATCTTGTGTTTTGTCTTTTTCTCTTCTGGGGGGTCTAGAATGGTGCCTGGCACATAGTAGGTGCTCAATAAACACTTGTTTGTTGAAAAAAAAAAAGAACAGAAAAGATGCAGAAGTTTTTTGGCTTATATGGCCATACACTTCTCAGAATACCCTTGAGGACCTAAAGGTTGGTCGGACACTGACCAGCGCTTCTGAACCAGGGCTACATGCCTGGCTCAGAAACTCCAGGCCCTCTGTAGCTTTCTGGCTTGTGCATGCGCAGTTCTTATCTGCCAGGACGGACTCATCTCACCCACTCTCGTTTGAGCACAGGCATCATTCATTCACCTGGGGTGGCAGGGTCCAACAGTCTGCCTCTAACCTAGTTTTCTTTTTCTAACAGCTACTTTGGCATCCAGAAGTGTTTGTCAAGCCAGACATCTATATTTCTTGCTTCTGAAACTTGTGGAGGAGGCCTCAGACACCTGGCTTTTCGAGTGTCTCTGATTCAGAGATTCTTTAGTACTGCCCTGTAGGGTTCTCTAGAATCAGCTGGAAACAGCCAGAATAGAATTACTCACGCCTTTGGCTTCTGCGGCCATTTTCCTGGCTCTGAAAAGCTCCCAGTGTCTCGCATTTCAGTTCAACCCTGGCCTGGTGTTGCTCTGGCCTGATATCATCTTATCCCAGTACATCCTCGGGTCTCGATCTAGCCTTTCTAACTCTCTGTGAAAAGCTTCTCCTTCACAGAGTGAAGTGTCACACTGGGACACCATTGGATGCACCCACCTCAGATGTTCCAAAGAAGGGCACCTATCCTGATCAAGAGGTTGTCTAGAAGTGGACAGTTTTCCCACTGTTGGGTGATGCTGCTTGGGCTGGATCTGGTTTAAGTCTCTGACCTGGTGTGTGCCATTAGTGTAGGGTCACATGAAACCTGCATGGAAAGACTTCTGTGTCTTTCTGGCTTCTTTTATTGCCTATAGGTGATGAGACAAACTTATGGCATCTAGTTTAGATATAAGTGCATCTGTGTGCATTTCAGTGTGTCTGTGTATTTCTCTGCACTATATGTATTTTATACATATATTTTATATACACATATACATTTATTATGTATATATCTGTCATTATAGGTAATATCTATGTTTATTTTTAAATATATATTTATGAAAAAATATGTTTTTATTTCTCTTGTATGGAGAAATACCACCACCAACCGGTAGACCACTCTATAACACTGTATATATAAATACCTCCATTTTAATTTTATTCATTTATGTGTTGTGTATATTCATATATGGTACCTATTTCTTCATACACAAAAATATATGCATTTATGTGTGTGTATATATATTTGTCATTTTATCTTTGCTTGTGTGTCATGTATGGGTGAAACACTTTAGACTGACCAATTATGCTATACCGTTTCTTGAGATCAGTGACTTCAAAACACTGAGATCTCACTGAGTGTTGTTTTCTCAGTCGTGTAAAAGACATAGCTGTTTATGTGACTTCAGATGTGAAGGCCATTTCATCCTTTGCCATTTGAGAGAAATCCTCCTCCTGCCCTAGGAGAGCAAAGAGAGAATTGACTGGCTGTTTCACGTCAAATAAGAAAGCCAAAAGCCTATGGGACGTGGTAGTTCTTTTATTTCAAGTCCTATTTGGTCACTACCTCTCTGAGCTTCTAAGAACAAGAGAGATGGGGTATTTTTTGGCTTACGTGGTCATACAGTTCTTAGCCTAGCCTTAGGGACCCCACAGCTAGATGGAAAGCTAACATTGCTTTTGGCCCAAGACCACATGCATGGTCTAGGGTCTCAGAGCTTTCCTTAGGTTCCTCAATTACACACAAGCACAATTCATATCGCCATGATGGACCTACTTTACTTCACAAACTGGGCCCTATTTTGGGGACAAGCATTATTCATTCATCTGGTGTGACAGGGTCCAACAGTCTGCCTCCCCTTCACTACTGATGTTTACTCTTTGTCATTCTCCATCCACTGTACCCACCCCCCACTCCTTAACGGCAGCTATCAATTTCCGACCACCCATGCTGAATTTGGAGAGAGCCCCATCTTTCCTCCCCATTGTAAGACTCACATACAGTGATCCCTGTACCTATCAGAATGGCTCTGAATAAAGTCTTCCTTGCCACGTTTTAAAAGGGTCATAGAATCATTTTTTAACACATGGTAAAATTTATGGGATTTTTTGTCTTTTTTATTTTTTTAAACCACAGGAAAAATGCTGTGAAATTTTTAGAGAGGTCAAAATGATAGAGACAGAAAGAAAAATAGTGGTTGCCAGGGAGAGGGTGGGGTAAGGAGGAAAGAGTTGGAAGAATGGGACGTTATTATTCAATGCTTACAGTTTTTTGGCTTTACAAGGTGAA